CTTTCGACTTGATTCATAGATAGAATCAATGATAGATAGACAAAAGATAGATGAACGAGATATCTTTTTTTCTCTAAACAAAAAGAGGAATAGAATAGACATCCCTTTAGATGTCTATGTATCCTTTTCTTTTTTTATCATCAAAAGATTTTATTTTATATCGTTATATCTGCTCTCTCTAAAAAAAATTGAGAGAGAAAGAGCAGTGTCCATAACTGTCCCCTATATCGAACAAAAATCCCTATCTATTGATAGGAAGATCTTCGTCAAATACCCGACTTTGCCTTTTTTTTTAGGAATTCCTCATATCCAAGGCAGCTTACCACAAGCATCCCACCCCATACGACTAGTTGGGGTGGGCTGTTCCCCTTTTGAATCAAACAAAATAAGTAGTAGGGGAGGGGCTTCATAGCTACTTTCATTCTAAAGGAAACCGAAGAAACAACCTTTAGTCAATAGGAGCCCTACTTCCCTCTTTGCGACCTCATCACTGAAATTCAAGCGCAAACCAATTTCTTTCTTAGTCACCGGGCTCCGCGCACCAAAGGCCTACCAAAGGTAGGGCGAGCTCTTTGATAGTGACTTCTTTCGTTTGGTAGGGCGACGAAAGGCTACTTCAATCTAGGAAACAGCCGGAAACTCGAAAGGGTCGCCTTTGGAAGCGTTCGCCGGTAACCCAAGCTTCACTCCTTCCTTTTGATTATGTCGTAACGCTGACTGAATCCAATCCATAAACCCGGAAACGAAACAAAGTTCGTTCCCTTTCGTCAAGTAGGTAAAGTAGGCATATGAACCACTTTTGCTTTGCCTTAGACTCTATTGGAACAAAGCAAAGAAAGAGGCGGAATGGAGAAAGGAAAGGGGCAAGAGCGGTCTTGCTTGGCGCGAAGGCTGCTGGTTCGGGGGCAGGGTACGGTACTAAAGGTCCTCGGACTTCCAGGCGGTCTTTCTTTTGGGCAGCTGTTCACCGTTGGATCTCGCCAATACAGCCCCCTATAGTTTTCGTTACCGAGATATCTTTTTTTTCATTGTTCCCAGGGATTTTTGGGTAATCCGCTCCCATGCTGCAAACAGTCAAATCTGAACTAACCTTTGTCGCTCTTCTTTCTTTCCTCGCGGGCAGGAAGCACACCAGCAGCGTGCGTTGCGTGATTCTACTGTGTTTTTTGCACTTGACTGGGTGGACAGTTGACCGGAAGAGAACTTCGATTCGCCCGGCCAGCAGGCGGGCGGTGTGCTTATCTTGTGTGACAACACTACAGAGCGAGTGGCCCTTCTAGGCGGGCAGCTTTGTGACAACACTACAGAAAAAGCGACGCTTTCGTGTCACATGCTATGGTCTCAATGCCCTTACGAGGTAGTGATGAGTTTCACGCGCTCTAAGCCCGGCCCGCGCGCGGTTAGGAAGATTGGCCGCAATCTGAACGGTACCACCCACCCTACCCTACCACCTATAGGCGGCCGTCCGTCCTACAGCCGCCCGAAAAGGAACTGCAGTGATCTTGAATAGGAATCCTACAGCGATAGAAAGAATCCCCATAAAAAGACCACTAGATCGAGCACCAGTGATTTCGTATCCGGTCAAAATCTTGGCTAATTGATCGAAGTGGGTAGCTCCAGTAGACCCATAGATCATGGAACAAATAGGGTGGGTAGGCCCAACCACCACACTACACGTATAGACGCGAACCCCCCTAAAAACCGTACGTGCGACTCTCACCGCATACGGCTCGCACAAAGACTCCTAAATCCATCCCGAGCCTTTTCTTCCACCTCTCCTCTCCAATCCTCGATCAAACTTGCGTTCCCCAGGCGCTATTAAATGGGGGTCTTTCCTTCGCCTATCGTATGTATCGGCCTGGCTTCGTCCAGAACCAAGGAGGCATTCTGGCGGGCGCGTGCGTGTAGGAAGGCCGACCACTACATAAGCTAAAACTAAAAGACTACGACTACAAGCCAAGCCGGAAGCGACTCGCTTCTATTCTCGTTGGGATTGGATATAGATGGGGAATCTATAGATCGTAGTAGTTCGCCAACCTCTCTAACTAACATACGATACAATTTCACTTCACGGCCCAAAAAAAGAGAAAGAGCTTCGCTCGGTGGGCCTTCCTACGCTGACGAATGCCTCCTTTCTCTTCTCTGAAGTCTACAACAAAAAAGTGGGAGAGGCAGGATTCGAACCTACGTAGAAAAACTTCAACAGATTTACAGTCTGTCGCTTTTGACCACTCGGCCACTCTCCCCTTCCCGGGCCAAGGCCCCCTCTCTGGGTTCTAAGAAAGAGGGCGGCGCCTTGAATCAATCAAAAAGCTTATTGATTTGATTGAAGGGAACTAATACTATTTATTAGCTTAGCTAGCGTTCCGGGAGAATCTAGTCATTTAGTCAGTTCATAACAATCTCTGTAAAGCAAGGGGCAAAGCTTCTACGACAGCTTCTCCCTCATGTCATGTAGTCGTCGGCCTTCCCAAGCCCCCCTTCGTCGCTTCTGGCTAAGCATCTTTCGGCGGAGGAAAGGAGGCGACTAGTCGCTTCTGGCGAAGCTGCGAGCCTACCCTTCTCGAGCCTACTTAAATAGCTTACGCTTACTCAGCCTAGTCTACTAAAAGAGGGCTACAGCAAGCAACTTCGTTGCCTTTGTTTGTTGTGGGTCGCGCCTCGCCTGAATGAATGAAATGAGTGGAGATCTTCCTTCCTCCTTGAAAATAACCAAGAACTTCGTTGGTACTAGTGGCGAAGAAAAATTAGACCAAAAAAAACAACTCGGAACCTAAAGAGAGTTCAGTCTACAAGAAGCTGGCAGAGCTTTAGCCATTGGACTACATCCATCTATCCTACCTAAACAGTAAGCCTTTTCTTGTTCGTTCTTCGAATGACGCTAGTGGAGACAAATTCCTTCCGGCTAATGAAGATACTACTCCAGTCTTCCCATTCATTCACAGTGGATCCTTCCTTTTCCCTAAGAATTGAACGAACCAAGTTCACCTATACGAGAGTGAGGAATAAAAACCTACAATCAACTTCCCACTTTTGATGTCCCACGATTCTGCTAGTTTAGAAACTAAAGAGAAAAACGGGGGTCGCTAGGTTAGAAAAGCGATAACTCAAAATTCTCCCTAAGTAGGATTTGAACCTACGACCGGTCGATTCAACAGCCGACCGCTCTACCACGCGAGCTACGAGGAAGAACTCCCTTAAGGAAGCCGACTCTCGTTCTTTGGCCCAACCTATGACCGGGTTCGTCACTCTTTTTTTTTTCACATACACCGGGAAAAAAGGTTACGATAGCAAGCCCCTCTCCGGCCGGAGAGCCTCCAGGACAAGGGGGCGGCGGTCAACCATCCACTCTCGAGATTCATATTGATCAATCGATCTCCGCGTCCTGCCAGTTCGCTAAGTAGACTCACTCTACCGAGGGGCAACAAAGACTTGAACTATTCCTGCCAAAAACAAGGGACCTCCCTCTCATCCTAGGAGTTAGCAGGTATGATAGAGTCCCCTCTCTGTTTGTCTCTCCGAGTTTCTACTACTAAGTAACACTTCGCTATTCAATCATAGAATCGATTCCGATCAAGCTGAAAAAGCCCTATATTATTAGTAAGCTAGTGCCCTGCAATCTTTCTAAAGCACTAACGCCCTACTATAGTATAGTAAGGGGCCCTTTCTTGCTCGTTGGCGCTTTAGAAAGATTGCAGCTAGGGCGCCCCCTTCTTTCTCAAAGTCAAGTTTCGCGCTTCTTAGTCAAGCTTTGAAGCCCCTACCTTTCTTTATTTATTGGGATATTTGAGGAAGCGCGGGCGCAAGGCCCCTAAGGGCTTTGTTTTTCCCCAACCTATACAAGGTGCTTGGTCTCGATCTCGCTTGGTGGTGCCCCTCTCGATGATTGTTGACTCGAACATTGATTTCGTGCTTGAGTTGGAGGTCCCTCCCCCTATCCATCGAGTCAAGTAATTCGCTATCGGAAATTTTTCCGCCGCGTATCTCATGCCATGCTTCTTCTTTCTCCGAATCGGTTCTTAGTGTCGGTCAATCAAGATTCGCCATCGAGAGAGGGCCTTGACTTTAGTTAGAGCCTGGTCTCGTCATTCACAAAATTCCCTCGTCCATCGATCAATCATGCGAGTACGCATCCGGTCGGCACATAGCGAACGAAAAAGCATTCATCCTGGTATCTTATACCGGCCTAAAAAAAATGTCTATTACCCTACGGTCAAAGTCTCCACGGCGTTTTCACGCCCCTCTCGATAGAGGGGCACCATGTTGATAGGAATTGGAAAAGACCTTCTTGTACACGTCCTCGAGGGCAGCATTCATGGAAATCATCACTACTTTCTCCCGAGGGCATGGTATGGCTTTGTTCTTGGTGTTGTTTAATAGATGTCGAGTGCCGCTTTTCCCCGTCCGAGAATCTTCATCTGCTCTAAGTGGGCGAGCTAGAATCCTTATGTCAGGTTGGTTGTTCAAAAGACACTTTCTCTTTACCCTTTGCATCTTCATCTTTTCGAAAGCACAGACCAGAATAAACTTCTGCACCTATTTCAGGTGCAAAGCCTCTTCAATAAAGACCTCTTTCTTTTTCCCCATTTCTCATTTTCTTGATTGAAAGAGGATAAGCGCTATCCATTGAGTAAAGGGAGGATTTGCTACAGTGATTCGGGCGGTGGGTGGCCCCTTCGAGAGTTGCGGGTCCTTGCCGCTGCATGAGTGGTAGCTCATGCTCAAAACTCCTCCGACACGAGTCCTAGTCGTTGCGCTGCGGTCCGTTTCCCGGCTTCGCTTGCGCGATTTATTTGCACTTCTGATTGGTTTCATCCATCTCCGACCCTAATGAATCGAGTATGTATGAAGGGGTCAGCCAGTCAATCAGTTCGGGTTCTCGGTCGGTTCCCGTTCGCCTGCCTCCCTCATAGTCCATTAGTGGGTAGGGTGGTCAACTTAGAGGGCGCCCGCCTCCTCTTCAGACGTGTCCTCGACAATCTGGCGGTTGTTCGATCTCAGCTTTTGGGGGCGGGAGTGCTTGGTCGCTGGGGTTTCCTTTTCCTCAACCAATTCGGTTGTGTCAGCCCTGAGATTGGTCTAACATTTTGTTATGAGCTGGCTGAACAAAGATGGATTGAAGGTAAGATAGATTTGAGTTTAACTGGCATAGGACCTTCGATCGACCATGGGGCGTATTTTAATTCTAAAAACTAAATTTGAAGCGTAACGTAAAAGCTCCTTCTCATGTTGCATTTCTTTGGTTTGGAAGTTTCGGCATGTTGTTCGGGAAGGTTTTCTTCTTCTTTAGGAGGCCTCTTACCTTTCCCTTACGCTTCTTTCCCGAAATAGGAATGGAAGCTTTGAATGAAGGTCATAGGATTGGTATCGACGTACCAGTATCTTCCAACCAATGGAATGGTTTTATATTACTATTAAAAAAAGGGGGCTTTGCTGACAGGGCGCTAGCTTTCTAAAAGAGTGTGGAAGATCCTGGGTAAGGCTTTCACCTTTCACATCCCATTTCAGTACGTTGCCTGATTCTCTCTTCATTGGCTTAGTCAGCCGGGGCTTCTTCCACTTCAAGGCCCTAAGAATGAATATCCCATCCAGTTGACGAGACACTAATGACCTAAAGTAGCCAAAGCTCATGGAAAAAGGAGTTCTTGCCGCCGGTACTGTTTTTTACTAATTCCCAGATGAGACTCTTTCCCAAGAGCCCACAGAGAAGCGACTGGCCAGACAAATAGCTTAGTCGCAGGAAGATTCCCCAACTGAGGTACAATAGGTCTCAGGATCATCCGATCTATGAGAATCTCTCGGAAAGCTCTCGTCGACTCAACCGATCAATAGAAGGAAGGACCACCTCTTAGAGGAGCCTCTTCTAGTTCTTGCATGACGATCCCTTCCCCTTTCTTCACATCAAGGGATAGAAAGGAATAAGATTCTAGCCAAATAGCCTGATTAGATTATTATATCGAAAGACTTATATTCTAGGAAGGTTAGCACTATCCCGAAAACAGCCTACTTGAATTGAATAAGGTAGAGTCAGATTCATATGTAAAGGCTAGGCACCTTCCCGCATTCGCACCTTAAATAAAGTATTAAAGAACTAATGCTACATCTGATCTGCTAATTGAATTAGATATTCTATCTCTTCCTTGGAACAGGTGAATCAGAAATTGGATCTCCATGCCCAGAATCTGCTGCTTGAGAATCAGCTGTGGGACGTCGAGGTAGTGCTAATGCTAGCAATAGCAATAGGGTAAGGGAAAGCAAGCAAGCCAATCAGTGAGTCATTCCAATCAGTCCTTGCATTCCGGGCAAGCCAGTACGGTACCAATGCTTTCTCTTTATGGTTTATAGATAGTAAGTAGTGAGCCAGTCAAGTGAGAAGAAAGGGGAGGAGGTAAGGAAGTGAAGTAGGTAAGCTCAGTCTCAGTCAAGTAGTTAGCAGGTTCAGGATAAACTTCAACGATAGGCGGGGAAAGAGAACTACAATCAGTCTACGAAAGTAAGGTTGTTAGCAGGTGAAGTAGTGGAAAGATGAAGTAGTGAGCCACTCACGTAACGGTGTTAGCTGTCCTAAGTTCATACTTAGTAGCTCATCAGATAGTCCGTAGCGAACTCTTTTTTGAAGTTGAATAAGCAAATGTGGCAACAGGTGGTATATCCTTTTATAAGTAGTTTTGATCCCCACTCAATGGAAATTTCGTTTTGATTGAACGAACCCAAGGGGAAAGACAGACTGACGAGCAAGGGACCTAAGCGCTAGGCCTTTTTCTTGCTACGCTGCTCCTTCCTCTGTTCGTTCTTGTCTTTCCTCGCCCCTTGGGGGCTGGGGCCCTTTCGTTAGCAGGGTCAAGCATAGGTTCTCCTATGGGGAACCGAAGCGCTCACTTCTTCTATGAGTGAAAGGTGTTGTACGGCTTCTTTTCGCTCTAGAGATCTTGAGCTCAATGGGCCTAACTTTTACCGACCTCCTTTCTTTCGTTCTGTCTATATGAAGTAGGGTCTTAGAGAAGGTTTTCAGCTCTAAGCAAGAAGAAGCAAACGTAGGGTGGTCGGAGATCAGTGACTGCAAGGGATGTGAGTGCGCTCTGATCGTAGACCTCCTAGGCACCAAGCCCAGGATTGCACTTCGCTAACCCGCCCTTATCAGCTCAACCGAAGTCTCTATTATAACAGAAGTGGAAAGGACATACCTTGAATACAGATCGAGATTCACTCTGGCACTGATTTATAAAAATTTAAGAAGAAACCGATTCCTCAACAGAGGAGTAGAAGAAGGTAGAGGTACAGCGGGCAGGCTTTCCGACTAATGATAAGAACGGATCAGAGACCAGTTTCAAGATACGAGGCTCTGGAAGAGGGAAGAGAACAACCAACCACCTTCCTCCGTAATTGTTGCAGGCACTGGGCTCCAATCTGAGCCCTTTGGAAGATTGGATGTGTTTGGAGTGCCCTTCGCCACCAGATGAATAATTAGCAGGAGATGGGGTCTCGATAAGAGGTTTCGAAAGGGATTAGTTCATTCGCAGGAATGGTCTCGTAGATGGCTTATCTTCCCTCGGATGGAGCTTCTTACCTGTAGTTGGAGATGCAATATATGGGGTTCCGAGCTAGGGGAGAGATCAGCATCGATAGGACATGGAGATGTGGGCTCAGAAGGGAGTGGAATAGAGGGTCCGAAGGAGATAGCTTAGATGCCGCCACTGGGGGTTCACTTGCTTACCTTGTCGGGTCACCTGGAGAGGTCGGTCGAAGGTTGCATTGGATTCCAGGACGGAGAAGCAGAGTTTGCTAGTTAGCTTTCCTTCATCACAGGGGTTTCGTAACCAGATTCTTATCTATCACTTATCGAGGGATCAGTTCCCAATTAGACTAAAACAGGGGAGCAAGCAAAGCTAGTCAAAGAAGAAGGGCCGGCTTCCCTGCGGAGCCAGTTAGACCACCATGACCATCACCTGTGAAGAGAGTTTCCACAGTCTCATCTCAAAGAGGAGGCCCTCGCCCGACAGAAAGAAATGAACGAATGCACCGCTAGAGGACTATGGGATAGACGGCGTACGTGTACCATATTGAATTTCCTACGAGACGGACTAAGGGACTATGGGGAAGAATCGGAATGAGGGATGGGTAATCAGTCTCGATAAGTCAGTTTGGATAATCGGCTGTCATAGGATGGTCTACAATCAGGGCCGGATCGGGGCCTTAGATCCTATTTCCTGGTTAACCAAGCAAGGGAAGCTCATCTCGAACACAAGGAAGATGAAAACTTAGATATATATCGTATTAATATGATTAATCATGCCCAGCTAAAGAACAAGGAAGCGCTTAGCTTACTTTTGTGGTAAGTCAGATCAGACCCGCCCTATTGATAGACTGCCGATACAGGACGAGAGCCCGACCGATTGAGACAGGGCAGATGCAACCTAATTCTTTGAGTTAGGGTTGAATGTCTACTTCCAGGTCTTCTCACAGAGATGCACAGAGGAAGAGAACGAACTGAATATATAACTCAGTGAGTGCTTTCGAAGAAAGGGGAAAATGAAATAGGAACAACCGCGCTGGTCGTAATAGATCGACTTTCATGCTCCAGTATGAAAGTTCCATTTCAGGGAAGGACGACGTACCATGATACTTTCTGTTTTGTCGAGCCCTGCTTTGGTCTCTGGTTTGATGGTTGCACGTGCTAAGAATCCGGTACATTCCGTTTTGTTTTCCATCCTAGTCTTTCGCAATACTTCAGGGTTACTTATTTTGTTAGGTCTCGACTTCTCCGCTATGATCTTCCCAGTAGTTCATATAGGAGCTATAGCCGTTTCATTCCTATTCGTTGTTATGATGTTCCATATTCAAATAGCGGAGATTCACGAAGAAGTCTTGCGCTATTTACCAGTGAGTGCTATTATTGGACTGATCTTTTGGTGGGAAATGTTCTTCATTTTAGATAATGAAAGCATTCCATTACTACCAACCCAAAGAAAGACGACCTCTCTGAGATATACGGTTTATGCCGGAAAAGTACAAAGTTGGACTAATTTGGAAACATTGGGAAATTTACTTTATACCTACTATTTCGTCTGGTTTTTGGTTCCTAGTCTTATTTTATTAGTAGCCATGATTGGGGCTATAGTACTGACTATGCATAGGACTACTAAGGTGAAAAGACAGGATATATTTCGACGAAATGCTATTTCTTTTAGGAGGACTATAATGAGGAGGACGACAGACCCACTCACGATAGAGAAAATGGGAATTCGCTGGGCCTCTCTCTTATTCCCAGGGGTGCCGGTTCGAATCCGGCTCGTGACGGAAGCCTATCATTTAGAAACCCGCATGGCAAATTCAGTTGTGCGATAGCTCCCATTCGTTATTGTTCTAAGTTTTGCCCGAATAGAGAACGACTCGCACGATAGACGACCCTTTGAGGAGTACTTGGGCATCGAAATCCGACATAGCCATAGACCGAGCTATCAAGTGGTTTTCCTAGTGAGCAGACTCTCTTTGAAGCTCATTGAGAACAAGAGATTGCCTCAGACTTTCCATTCTCTTTCTTTATCTAAATTCCCTCCCCTCGCCCTCAGAAGAAGAGAGCTATGCCAAAACCAAAGGTGCCTACCGCTAGTGCAACTCTTTCTATTCATAGAAATCTTCCTCTCCGGCGGAAGGTGAACTTAGGGATGACTCAGCTGGCTTTAACTATCTTGTGGGAATATGTTAGGAAGGAAGAAAATCTCTCCTCGAAGAGTTGATGGATGGGCAACATACTGCCCCACGATTTCTTTGCCGTATCCCCGTCATCTTCGCTCACATTGATAAGAGCATTATCTAACGTAAGGAGATCTGTATTCACAGGTTCAGATTGCTGAGATCTCAAGCCAGTCAGCGTCTTGCTGCTTTCTCTCGAGAGCGTTATTTGCTTTATTAAAAGAGATATAACAACTCTTTCTCTAAAGCAAGCTCAGTGACCTAGAAAAGGGCAGACAGCATGGAATGAAAGAGCTTTACTTACCGAAGTTTTCTAGATGAATTGAATCATTCCCGAGGTTCTTCTTTCTTCACTAGGAAAGATCTATATCTTACTTGAATAGAAGATATAAGTGACCCACACTTGGGCGACTAGGGAATAAGAATCTCTTTTTCCAACAAACCCGTGCTGTGAGGAAAGCCGCTTGAAAGCAGATTGCTACTGAATTTACTGACTTGCTTGCATGGGTCAGACTTCAGGGAATAATCTTCTGAAGCGCCAAAAAGCCGTGGCACCCTTCGCCCAAGGCTTGAATCAGGAGATTCTTTGCAAGCCTTTTCCCCTATAGAAGATCTCCCTTTTCGAAATGCTGAAAGTTCACTTCACCCAACTCTATACCGAGCTCTTTCTTCCCTGTTTCAGGATCGCTCAGAACAACTGGCTTCTTCACTCGTTGATTCCCAGATCTAAAATGCAAACCGGCTGCTTCGCGCATCTCTAGCCAAAGACCGGCATTCAAGACTTGAAACCTTCACTTCAGCGGTTGTGTGCCCGAAGGTGCCTTTCTTTCCTTCTTGCCCGAGTTAAGCTCACTTGAGCAGTTTCGCGTTTCCTGGTTCGCTTTCTACCTTTGTTTTCGTATTAGAATCTCCTATTTCAACCGTAGTTCATGCCAAGCAAGCTTCATGCTGAAACTATCTTCCGAAGAATGTCCTGCTTCTTCCCCTCTACTGTGCGGGTGCTAAGACTAGTTTTTTAATTTTGAGCGTGGTCATAGGTTTCCAGTTTTCGGAGCTCACTTTGCAGGTCAGAACTATCAGAAGACGAAAGAGAACTTATTCAGACGAATAGTGTGCCGGTGCCCCCAAAAACCCTACATTAGCAGTTCGGGTGGAATCAGACATAAACCAAGTCCAAGAAGACCGAGGAGTCCTTAGCACAAGCACTAAGTAAGAAAGCTACCTTGGGGAGAAGGTAGCGCACTAATTCTATCCTCCTTTCCTGCTACTAGGGAAGCGCGTGCTACTGCTACTACTTTTTCACCTGCTCCGACAGGATTCCTAAGGAAAGCGCTTCTGAGTCGGTCTTGGCATAATTCCGTTGTAAGAAGTCCCCCGGTTCTGGACTAAACAAGTATAGCCAAAAAGAATTCCCTTCGTAAATCGAAATAGAGTGATGTGAAATCTTATTTCGTAGTAACTGCAACCTGACTACTATTCTTTTCAATTTGTTACGTGCCTTATATCGCCGTTGGACATTATGTGATGTTATCGACTGGAGTCAAAGTTGCGGTTTATCTATCGATCTCTCATATGGCTTCAAAGACGGAGTGAAATTAATCACAGGCCCTAAGCCGCCTGGGGTTTGAGCAGCGGCGAAGGAGATCTTGTCAAGCGCACTGGGTATATTTATATTATGGAAAGACCCACTTCCACTTTCCTACCGTACTACACGAGGGGAGGAAACTTAATAAATAGCGTAGATAAGGAAGTGGCTATTCTTTTTCATGACTCCGCTCGAATAAGCTCTTTGCGCAAGAAAGGGATATGAGATAGATGCCAACAATCGGTATAAAAAGATAGAGTAACTTACTGGTACCCCTGTCACTCTTGTTTTGATGCTTAAATCAAGGCCTTTCGAAAAAAGAAAGAGGTCTGATGTGTCACTAGCCGAGTTAGAGGGCTAACCTAACCTTCAATAGACTCTTTCTGCAAGAAAATGACATAATTCTAATAAGGAAAATGCATCGAATGCTCTTGTTACAGAATAGGCAGCTGTGAGGGGAGGTTTGGATTGGACAATAAGGGCTTTGCGCCTTAGACGGTCTTTCTCTTTGTGCAAATCCAGTGTCGAAGGCCCAGTGAATCAAGCAATTGAATCCGAATCGGTGAGAATCTGCTCCACATTCATGCCCAGAATCGTTAGCTACTGGCTTGACCGAAGGTTGAGCTACTTGTTTACTTACTTGCTCGTTAGAGGGGGAGGCTAAAGCAGTCTCTGCACTGGGATTAGCTCTATTATGGGAGTTTACTTGCTTGAAAAGGTGCGAACGAAGAGAGCTAGTCAGGAGTAGAACAGAAGCATGAGTTGAGTGGTGAGCAGGGTAGCGAAACTAGGAACGGAGTTGGCTTGTTAGAGCTAGGCTGTTGAGTTAAAGTAAGCGAGCTAGTCATACGAGCCAGTGAGTCTGCTAACTTGTTATAGATTTATTGGGCACGTGCCTCCTTCCTTCTTCTTTGAAGCTTTTGAGCAGGTCGATCGCGAGCTCTTGATATGGTAAACTGGAGTGAAACGTTAGAGACTGAGGGCTAAAGATGTCGTTGGAACGCTTTAACAAGGCCGTTACGGAGATTGGATGCTGGCATGACGACTGGGTGAAAGGCTTCTGGGTCAAGTTGAATATCTGTAGGGGCTTTCGCCTAAAAGGATCCTCAATCACGGAGTCTATTCTGGAGCTTCCCAAAAGTTCTATCTGACTTGAATGCGGGAAGATATGTATGAATCACCCCCATTTGTACGGTCTTTCAGAAGAGTGTTCTTAAAAGGCGTGGAAACTGAAACCGCTGTTGTCTGGTGGAATAAGTCGAGTCGGGGAATCGGTTGTTTCGGAAAATCCGTTGTTCGGGGAATCCTTTTTCCTTTCAAAATTGAACTAGTCTTTCGCCTACGTTCGATTGCCTATCTTTTGCAACCTTGAGATCTTCAAATAGTCCCCTCAGATTTGAATACGATCTAATAAGAGTATCCTTCAGGGCGGGATCTTCGAGGGCATCATACCATTCGTCGTACTTCATGACTTTCTCTATAACAACGGCTCCTCCTGTCTTTTCTGGCTTGTATGGAATAGCTTGGTCTTTCGCACTTGCATCTCCAATTTCCAATATCTGCTTAAGGCTGTATTCGCCCCATACCACTTTCTTTTTTTCCATTTTAGGTATATATCGGCAGATTCTTCCCCATCCTTTGTGTACTTTGACATTTATCTGCCTCCCCTCAAACTCGGGGAAGAGCGCCCTTATTTGTTTAAAGCACTTATATCTGGACGCATTCTCATTTAAGACACCTACATGATAGTGGTACCCTCCGTCTTAATGTCTCTCCGTTGCTACTACTATAGACCTACACGTAAATAGCTTCATGATTCTGTCTCGCGCTTGAGTTTGCGATACTGGTCTTCGCTCAGCATGTGCCAGTCTTATTAGTAAGAATTGTCTCAAGGATTCTAGTTGGACACACATTCTAGTCTAGTTTGCTCGTTCTTCCTTCTTCTTGAGAAGGGGCATACCATAAAAAAAGAAAGACAAAAACCCAGTGCGTTTTGTATAGATCGAGACTTGTAGCTTGATTCTTTACTCATTCCATACTGGGAATAATTGCAGGAAATCGTTCGATAACACTTCTTCCAATTTATCAATGATATCAGACGATCATCCCGTGAAACAAAGGAGAGTTCATTCTTGGGATGAATAAATAGAGACTACTACAACGGGATAGACCACAACTTCGGGATCAACTTCAATGAATTATAGCGTAACGGGCTTGGTATAGATCCGTAGCCCGCTCTAGGTCTTTACCCTAAACTGGAATTAGGCATGGAAAAGCTCGATCAATGTCCTCCTCTCCCGAGGCCCGAAATGTGGAGACAGGCCGATGATGCAATAGTTAGCGGACAAATAGTCTTCAGTAGTTGGTGATGTCGAAATCTTTCATACAGAACGAAATCGAACGGGCTAATAGTGCAAGAGCGTAGTAAGGGCGCGGGAGCATTCTCCGCGAGCATCCTCTCATCGGAGTCCCCAGTTGAAAGTTCCTCAATCGGGGAGAGCCCACCAAAGGTCGATGATGAGGACGCTGGCAACAGCATATTCCCGGGAATTTTGGCATCAAGCCGCTTCCTCCTTGAAGGCGTAAGGAAGAGCTTATTCATGTGCAGTTGATTCTCGAACAAGAACTTGAGATTCTTGCGGGGGATTATGCACGTATGTTCCTTACAGCCGGCTGCTTGCAGAAAGATCCCCCTAGTGGAATAACGTGGGTGTGCAGGCGGGTAAGAATAGACAAGTGGTTTTGGGGGCTAGACAGCAAGTATCTTTTACAGAGGGTAAAAAAGATGTGCCATTTCTCTTCGATCTCCAGACCATAATGTGAATGGCAGCTTTGGTATAAGTAGGAGTGGAGTTGGAGATATCGACTGCATGCGGAACATAGAAGAAGAAGGAGGTGGTGCCTCAGGAGAACTACGACTTGGATCAAGAGCAGGTGATGTGTCCACTGCTGTAGTGGAAGGCAGCAATGAAGCATTTGAGTAGGGACAACTAGATGTAGTGGAGTGAGTCACAGGTGGCTCGGCATTGAGTTCAGATGTGAGAAAGAACTGTAGAGGCAAGGAGAGAAGAAGGGAGATATCGAGAGAGAGAGGTCAAGTGGGAGAGTACTTGGACAGGGATGATTGAGGAAGGGAAAAAGACTTTTGTAAAGATCCCGATCTTACTAGTGATATGCGGGACAAAGATCGTTATAAGTTTTCCAAGTTGCCAAGAAAAAGTTCCTTTGCACGAGTAAGAAAGCGATGTCTTTTCACGGGTCGCCCCCGTTCCATATATGAGTTCTTTCGAATTTCTCTTATCGTCGTGGATTAGCATCTTGAGGTTCTTTGATAGGCATAAAGAAATCGTTTTGGTAGCAACCACCAAACCAATAGAACAAGGGTTAGCTCTGCAGCTGGTCCATAAGCAAGGTAAGTAGATCCATTACCGGCCGGCTCCGGACCTTAAAGACCTAACGGAGTAACCCCTTATCTAGCATCGAAGATGCTAACGGGGCTGGGGGACCTCTCTACCGCCTCTGTCTATCTCCTGTCAAGTATGCTCCCCAGACATAGACTACGTTACGTACAGGGTAGTACTCTTGAAAAGAAAGAATATCACCGCGTGAACATAACATTAAGTTATATTCATAACTTACCCGAGGGATCGACCACTATTCTAAATAGAGTAAGGCGGAGAACTGTTGTTCATTGGAGCACCGGAGTGCGGAGGTTGTTCCCATCATTGAAGTCAGAGTGTGGGACTGAGCCCTTCGAATGATAAAGACAAAAAAGCCCTTAGTTTCGTTGGAAAAACCAACGCACATCATATTGACTTTCTCTCGCCCTACTTCTAAGGATAGATAGAAAAGAAAGGGTTGGAGAGAGTGACTTTAAAAAATTCTCTCCTTTCTAAAGCTGCGAAAGGCGGCCCCCCCAGAACAAAGCCCCACCCTTCTTTTCCCCCTTTAATGAAAGACCCTCGCCCCGCTTCCTATTCATTTGTGGGTCGGGACCCGAGGGCCTTTTTTTTCTCAATTTCAAGAATCTCCCAACCGACAAATCCGTAGCTCAGGTGACTGACAGCCTCCCTCTCGCCTAAATGAAATGGGATGAATCAAATCAATAAGCTTTTTAATTGATTCAGGGCGCAGCGAAGCCAAATTCAATCAAGGCAAGGGGGGCTTACTTTTCCTGACACTGAGTCATCCTATTCAAATTTAGCTATGCTAATGGAACAGGAAAAGTTTTCAGATGATATGGATCCCAAGAGATGAGCGAGAACCTCCAATTGTTTAGGGGTCGCACTCTGTCCCGCTTGGTGTGGTGGACGAAAGATTCTCTCCTTTTAGAATTCTTTCTCCCACACGCCTTTGCCCTCTTTCACCGAAGAGGAAATAAGAATCTTCCAAGCGGACAGAGACCTAAATTTCCATTAGATTCATTCCTAAGCTTGCTTTGTTCCAGAAAGATGATCAGTCCGAGAGGGCTGGAGGGAAGATAAAGCGGTCAAAATCTCTCTGATTTGATCACCGAGCAGTCGGACGACTTTTCAGTAACCCAGGATGACCCCTTCGACGCTTCTTTCGCTGTATACCCCCTACATCCTTCGGAGTTGGAAGAAAGGTAACTATATATAGAATATATATAGTTAGTTAAGTAGGGCCCCAGAACGCTAAAAAGGTGGGGGAACAAGAGTTGTCACGATAGGAAAGAGAAATGACTATAAGGAACCAACGATTCTCTCTTCTTAAACAACCTATATCCTCCACACTTAATCAGCATTTGATAGATTATCCAACCCCGAGCAATCTTAGTTATTGGTGGGGGTTCGGTTCGTTAGCTGGTATTTGTTTAGTCATTCAGATAGTGACTGGCGTTTTTTTAGCTATGCATTACACACCTCATGTGGATCTAGCTTTCAACAGCGTAGAACACGTTATGAGAGATGTTGAAGGGGGCTGGTTGCTCCGTTATATGCATGCTAATGGGGCAAGTATGTTTTTCATTGTGGTTTACCTTCATATTTTTCGCGGTTTATATTATGCGAGTTATAGCAGTCCTAGGGAATTTGTTTGGTGTCTCGGAGTTGTAATCTTCCTATTAATGATTGTGACAGCTTTTATAGGATACGTACTACCTTGGGGTCAGATGAGCTTTTGGGGAGCTACAGTAATTACAAGCTTAGCTAGCGCCATACCTGTAGTAGGAGATACCATAGTGACTTGGCTTTGGGGTGGTTTCTCCGTGGACAATGCCACCTTAAATCGTTTTTTTAGTCTTCATTATTTACTCCCCTTTATTTTAGTAGGCGCCAGTCTTCTTCATCTGGCTGCATTGCATCAATATGGATCAAATAATCCATTGGGTGTACATTCAGAGATGGATAAAATTTCTTTTTACCCTTATTTTTATGTAAAGGATCTAGTAGGTTGGGTAGCTTTTGCTATCTTTTTTTCCATTTGGATTTTTTATGCTCCTAATGTTTTAGGGCATCCCGACAATTATATACCTGCTAATCCGATGTCCACCCCGCCTCATATTGTGCCGGAATGGTATTTCCTACCGATCTATGCCATTCTTCGTAGTATACCTGACAAATCGGGAGGTGTAGCCGCAATAGCACCAGTTTTTATATGTCTGTTGGCTTTACCTTTTTTAAAAGTATGTATGTGCGTAGTTCAAGTTTTCGCCCGATTCACCAAGGAATCTTTTGGTTGCTTTTGGCGGATTGCTTACTACTAGGTTGGATCGGATGTCAACCAGTGGAGGCACCATGCCGTACTAGAGCTCTGGCATGTATAGGCGATCATGGTCCTTGTGATCGGGAATAGTTTTTAAGATATACCGTCTTTCTGTTGACACATTTAGAAGCCTTTCTCTCTTCGATCTACCTCGAGTCCAAGAGAATGGTAGAGCTCTCCAACTTCCTTCATTTGGAAGCGTACTGATAGATTTTCCTTTGTTGGGCGAATTTCCTCTTCGTCATCTCCAGTGATGATAAGATCATTCACGTATACTATAGCAGGACTATGGCCAGCTTGCCTTCTCCTTCTCGAGTCTTAAGAAATAGACTTGAATCCGCAGGCGCCACTAAATATCTACTTTGAATTCAAAATTCAGCAATCTTACCGCCCTTGGTGCTTGCAAAAACCCGTACAGAGCTTTTCTCAATTCTCACACTCCATCAGGGTTTACTCTCTTTGCCTTGTGGCTGCTCCATGTAAATTTCTCGATCTAATTCTATATATAAGAAAGCATTCTTCACGTCCATCTGCCACAACTTCCAGGACTTGCTTGCTGCAAGCGCTAGCAGGACAGGTATGGTTTTAATCTTTGCCACTGGACTGAACCTTTCATTATAATCCAGTCCATACTGCTATGAGAACCCTCGAGCCAGCAAGCGAGCCTTCTATCTCTCAATTGATCCATCTGGCCCTGTCTTTCTCTTGTAAACGCATTTGCAAGATATGGCTTTCACATCCTTGGGCTTAGCCACTAAGTCCCAAGTTTTATTCTCTTTCAAGGCTAGACAATCTTCCTCCATAGCCTTCTGCTACTCCACACTCTGCGACGCTTCTTTATATGTCGACGGCTCTACCACTTTCTTCTCTTCGGCCAATGCGGCATTGGCATAAAAAAAAGTTTTCGCTGCCTGGTGGATCTTCGGAGCTGCGGTTGTGGCCTAGCTTCTTCTCTAGATCCTTCTTGTTGAAGATCTTTAGGAGTTCTTTGTTTGGTGTATACCGCTTTGCCAAGGCCGTAAACAGTGTAATTACAGCTCTGATTCGCCTTTACTAGTCAATGGTATTGACGGCTCAATAGCTTCTGAGCTTGGCTGTCTTTCATCCGTCCCAGTCTCTCCAGAAACTTTTCTTCTATTTCTTTGGAAGAACGTAATATCACCTGTTGTGGTGACCACCACGATGATGCTTCATCGAAGACAAGGTTCCGTGATGCATAGCAGCGGTTGGTTGTGGGATCACAACATTTATATCCTTTTCTTTTACTAGAATAAGCCACGAATATGCATCTGATTGCTTTCTTATCAAACTTTCAGCGTAAATGGTCAGGTACAAAGATATAAGATAGGCAGACAGTGGCTCACGTGATCAACATTCAGCCGAGGCTAGGGAGCATCTCTTCCTTTTCGCCTTGCCTCGAGGGCTTCCGGGTCCCGTGGGCACAGTTGAACAAGGCTCGTATTCAGATACTCTACCTGAAAAAGAGGTTGAAAAAAGCCAGATCATAAATAAATAAGTAAGAAAGAATCATAGCCAAAAGAACAAAGGAACTGTACATTCAGTTTTGTGTAACAAACAAAAGACAGAAATATAGTCCTATCCAAGCTTGTCAGGATCAAAGACGTTGGGATTAGATTAACAGACTATGGATGGGTCAAGACGTCGAGGGAGAGTACACCAACTAGTTGGCTATGTAAAAAGAGAGTGGGCTAAAGATTTGCTACTAAGGATCTTTAGGAACGTTCCGCTCATTTCACTCGTCCAACCCTCTCTTCCTAACTTCCATACTCCTTTCACCTATCGGCGAATAACTATAGTTATGCCTTGAACAGCTTCTATTGGCCAACCAAGCCTTTCTGATGCACTTCACTTAACTTATTAGTGGCAGCTTTCTTATTGGCATTGGAGCCAATTTCATTACCACCTTCCCACTCTTCGCTGACACTCACCTGGAAGACTTCTACCCGAATTAAGCATTAAATTCTCATAAACCGATTCACTCTAATGACGAAAGTGAAGAAAAAGAAAAGAAAGGAAGAGACGATCCGATGTAGCATGCCCGAAGAGGAACAAACCCCTCAGACCACTATGGAAAAGATCGATTTCAAAGGCGATCTGATCAATTTCTCCTGCACGTCTAGCATCTTTATTTACTGGGATCACCAGAACTAAGCCCAGTGAGTCACCAACCATATTACTAAACAGTGACACCTACTTGCTTGTTCGAAACTAGATCTTGATCCTGCTCTTCCGGGAGAGAAAGTTCTTTTATCAAAGAATTTGTATTCTCGATGCTTTGAATAGCGTAGTTTCGTACCCAAGGGATTCGACTTTCCTTCTGATCTACGACCACCCTCTACTCATAGAACATAGGGAACTAAAAACCACAGAATGAAGGAATCCGCATGGAAGGCTCTCGACCGGGTCATGGCATTGCTCTGGAGTGGAGCCGGGGTAAGGAGCGAGTTCAGTTCCCCTCGGGGAAGAATAGGCAGCTGTTAGAGTAGCGGTCGGTGGGAATAGGACTAGCTTTCTTTACAGAACAGATTCAAGTGCCATCCTCCAGGCTGTTGAAGGAATAGGAACAGCTCTTGTTCACGACTCTGCTGCCATTGAATCTGTTGAGTTTGCTCCTATCGTAGATAAGAGAAAGGCAGCTTAAAGGAAAGCAGTTGTAAGAGAAAAATCCCCTACCCAGCATTAGACTTTATTACCGCCGTTGGACTAAAGGCATTGGGAAAGGGCCTACCCCTACTCGAAAGGAAGTGAAGTCGCCCAGTGAAGGAACCGAGGGAGAAGCTTTTTATAAGAAAAGTAAAAAGCTGGAATCCGAGAAGAGGATAGGCTAAGGCGCAGAGAGGTGCATTGATGCCCAGACTAAGCTCTTAAAAGATCATCAATTCCTAATGAAATAGATGTAGCAGTGGCTTGCTGGAAACCCAGAGTCTTTACTTGATCCAGGATGTGTGATGTATATGCCATTCCGAAGTGATCTATGAATCGACTAATAATTCGTTTAATGGCAGTTCCATCTATCACTTTATTGTGAAAGAACAGATTGGCCCGTTCGGCCATAAATACCTCCATATTCCGCTGAATAGGGCTCGGCAATAGATTTGAGTTAATGCTTGGAAAACTTCCTTTTCTCGATCTTGATTCGCGTAGAAATTCAGGAACTATAGTCCTAGTTGCACCAAAGAGATCTGAATTCACACCGATGTCATAGAATTACTTAGCTTAGATCCCTATGATTAGATTAGGTACCGCCTGAGCAGGCTTGGCAAAACCCTTGTATAGCTTCTTCGATTTCTCGATAAAGAGAAATATGACCAACAGTGGTTCGAATGTATATAGAAAGAATTTTTTTTTATACTTCTTACTATTAGATAGTGTCCATAAATCTCATGAAAAGGAGATCCGAGTCTCCTCAAACCCCTTATTGTGGATTATTTACCCCAAAAGTAGTCCGCTGCCGTTAGCACCTTTTTTAGTACTCCTTGAGCAATGAATCGAATCCTATCAATAAAATCTTTATATTTCTCCTTTGAATTACTCATATATATCCTATTCATTTCGCACCGGAAACTATTCTAGGAGAAGTTCGAATCCGTTCCGTTCGGATATTGATCGGTCTTGGTTTGACATGGTTTACGCGTTACTGGTTCCCGGAGGAGTTAATATCTCCATTAGCTAAACCCTTTCTTACCCTGCCTTTGGACTCGTATTTTGTTTGTACACAATCAACGGAAGCCTTCCCGACATATGTTGCAACGTCTTCAATAGCATGCTCTTATTTCGTCTTTCCTTTAATAAGTCATCAAATTTGGTGCTTTTTGATTCCCAGTTGCTATGGGGAACAAAGGACGAAATACAATCGATTCCTCCATTTAAGTGGTTTTCGCTTCTCCTTGTTCCTGTTCCTAACTCCTCCCCGGGTAGTTCCCAATGTTTGGCACTTTCCATACTTCGTGGGTGCAACATCAACAAATTCGCTCATGATCAAGTTACAACCTAAGATCTATGACTATATTATGTTAACTATTCGTATTTTGTTCATTCCATCGGTATGCTCCCAGGTACCTGTAATTGTGATCCGTTTGCCAGAACCGAGGGGTCTTTCTGTGGAAACCTCCACGAACAATCGTCGTTTTTTGATGGTTTTTCCGCTTCTCACAGCTGCTCTTTTCACACCTCCGGATATCTGGTGCCAAATCGTCGCCCGTTTCCTTATTTCTTTGATAATAGAGTTGGCTATCTTTGTGGCATCGATTGTACAAGTTCGTGAAGAGGTCTGGACGAGTGGAATGAGGGGGAGCGGCTCGATCGACAAAAAAGAAAAGGAGCCCCCCTAGAACCTGGCAAAGTAACTATCAATGAATTCCCGAGAAATTCTCAACCAACATATGCGATTCATCCCCGTAAAGATTATAACACACAGAAGACTCCTTACCTTAGCCTTAGGAGCGGGATGAGTGATGCATCCGGCGAGCGCCGGTGAAGAACGCAAGCAAAGCTAGAGTGGGAGGAACTTTTCTCATTAAAATGGAGACCCCCTTACTCTCTCTATAAAAAAAGCTTTCGGGAAGCGCGAAGAGCTAAGCCACTAATGTCGTGGCGAAGGTTATACCTCAGAAAGTCAGCGAAGAAACTAAGGTTTCATATGTGTTATATCCTTTCGATCGAGCGAGAACTTCTAAGGACGGCTTTCATTCCCTTTTTAAAGAAGTAAAAAAAAAGCGCGCCCAAAGTGGCTGTTAGATCACTTTGTTGATGCAACGAACTCTTTCTATTCCACTCGCCAACAGCCTCCCGTAAAAAAGTATACGTAACTCGCCTCGCATCCTCCCCTTACCGATTAGACTATAGAGCGGGTGGGGCTGAAGGGGCTTACGATTAACTTGTTTTTCATCAATCTTTGGTGAGTGTGAAATAAGAGAAGGACTCATGTTCTTCATCATTCTTCCAGCAAGCGCATATCTTACTTATGCTTTCGACGAGTAATACAATAACCGGCTTACACAAAAAAAGGCTAGCTTTCCTCAGCATCAAAGATCGCCCACTCATTCATCATACCATCATGCAAAGCAAGACAAACCTCGTAGGACAGGAAATCACTCTTTTGGACTCTTCTTTGTTTTTCATTCTTGGAAGAATGGATTTCTTTCATGCCTTACTTTCGAAGGCTTTCATCTCCACGGGGGGCGAGCCCTCTCGTTAGCTCTATGTAAGGGCTTGGGCTTCTCTGGGGGTCTAGCCTTGGCCATTGCTTATGTTTTTCAAGCCTTCCTCACTGCCGAGGCCGCACCCTCTCTTGGAAAAAATATGGTTCCGTCTGGGTCGGCTGAGGGCGGCTCATCAAGCTCCGAAGCGAGCGTCAATCAGCAGCCTCTGATTCCGGAGCTTCACCCTCCTTTGATGGATGACTCTACCCGCGAAGCAGAGCTCAATGATCGTTTGGGTATTCATTTTTCGGGTATATCATACAACCCCGACGTTCGGGAATCGTTTGTGCGGACCCAGCGGGAAATTGAAAAACATATCGAGGGGGCTCTCGTGGCCGACGGGTATTCTCGTGAGACTATCTTTGAAAAAAGACATCGGATACGGGGGTTCTTGTTTTACCCGGGCGGGACCGCGCTTTCTGAATCCACTTACGTGGACCATCTGAACCAAATCAGGGAAAATGGTACACGGCAAAGCGTTCCGTATCGCAGGATTATAAGAGCCCTCCAAAGCTATGATCTCTTTTTATAAAGATAGTCTTTTTAGAATCATAGTTCGGTAGTGGGGTGTTGGCCCTAATCCCCATTGAGAGTCAGAGGTAGTGTAACTAGGTAGCCAGTCTTTACTTAACTCGTCCCAAGCAATGCCCCAAGACTCCCATGCCTTTCTTGGTTGGACCAAGCGATTTTCGACAAGTCTTCCTGGAAAGCAAGAAGCGGAACTACAGGGATGAAATGAAAAGTCTTTCTTACGATTACGCCCAACAGCCCACTTGAGCAATTTTCCATTCTCCCATTGATTCCTATTCAAATAGGGGACTTGTATTTCTCATTCACAAATCCATCTTTGTTTATGCTGCTAACTCTCAGTTTGGTCCTACTTCTGGTTCATTTTGTTACTAAAAAGGGAGGAGGAACCTTAGTACCAAATGCTTGGCAATCCTTGGTAGAGTTTATTTATGATTTCGTGCTGAACCCGGTAAACGAACAAATAGGTGGTCTTTCCGGAAATGTTAAACAAAAGTTTTTCCCTCGCATCTTGGTCACTTTTACTTTTTCGTTATTTCGTAATCTTCAGGGTATGATACCTTATAGCTTCACAGTTACAAGTCATTTTCTCATTACTTTGGGTCTCTCATTTTCTATTTTTATTGGCATTACTATAGTGGGCTTTCAAAAACATGGGCTTCATTTTTTAAGCTTCTTATTACCGGCAGGAGTCCCACTGCCGTTAGCGCCTTTTTTAGTACTCCTTGAGCTAATCTCTTATTGTTTTCGCGCATTAAGCTCAGGAATACGTTTATTTGCTAATATGATGGCCGGTCATAGTTTAGTAAAGATTTTAAGTGGGTTCGCTTGGACTATGCTATGTATGAATAATCTTTTCTATTTCATAGGAGATCCTGGTCCTTTATTTATAGTTCTTGCATTAACCGGTTTGGAATTAGGTGTAGCTATATCACAAGCTCATGTTTCTACGATCTCAATCTGTATTTACTTGAATGATGCTACAAATCTCCATCAAAGTGCTTATTTATAATTATAATTGAACAAAAGCGAGAAGCGAGTTGAAGGAATGGAAAGAAAGCTCCATATTAGCTCGAATTGCCTCTTACTACTCTTACCATTCACTTAAAAAACTTATCTAAGCACTTGACCGAGGAGAGTGAGGGGGAAGGAAGGCATTAGACTGTGTTTCATTCATTTATTAAGTACGCAATACGCAAGGGGGAAGAGAATGAAACGACTTCACTTAGTTCTGTTAGCCTAGTTTGAATGAAATGAACTAAGCCAGGTGCGGAAGGGAAGCCGGAAGCTGTGATGGCTAGGAATTCTGTATTAGATCCCTCATCTCATTCTGAAGTCAAGTAAGGAGTCCTAGTTCAGAGGCACAGTACATGGATCGGAACTCTCAGTCGAATGATTGGATTTCCTGGGGCATTAGGTACGGATATAGAAAGTGTGCAGCGGACTCATTAGCCTATTTTGAATTCGAGTAGTTCACTTCTAGGGTTCGGTGCTAGGGTGCCTGATTCAACTCTGCTTTGAAGCATGAAATTCAGTCATACAGGTGCGGAACGGGTAATCAAAGTCATCTCCTGTCTGGGGTTTCGTGTATCAATGCTTCTAGATTAGTGTTCAGGATGCTTGACTGACCGACTTCTTTCAGCAGGGTCACCTATCTTTATCTTTCATCTTCTATCGACCACCCGTGCACGCTTCCTTTAGCGAGACTGAGAGATGGGTAGTAGCCCAGGAACTACTTCCTAACTACGGGGATCCCTCATCGAATGTTCGAACTCCGACATAGAGGCATCCAGCAAAATTCCAAGGGATATAAGTCTCTAAAGTTGCGTAAGAGTCTCATTTTGGCTAGCGCCCTTTCTCCCTATTAGTATGCCTGATTTCTCCTTCCATTGGTAAGCATTACTCCTAATCAGGTATAGGTCTTTCGGAACGAGCTTTAGCAGTCCCGCCTTCATAACTAAGGTGACTCCTTGGCCTGCAAGCTGGAGCACTTAATTAATTGGAAGGTGTGGAAAGAGTCCTTCTTTTTTGCTATGGTAAGCGCGACTCCTTAGCGCCTTCACTCATGAATTTCCCTTTCAGGGAGAAAAGAAGAGATCAACTTAAGTAACTATTTCGGTGGTAAAGGCCTCTTCGGGCGAGATCAACAAGACGTAGGAAAGAGAGTTCGCAGCTTTCGATTTGTATCATCGTCGAGGTACCAAGTCTCGAGCTTTTGCTACATCAAAGTGGATTTAGACTAAGTCAGATTGATAATCTGAGGGAATTCTGTCCTTAGTCAACATGGATTCAATCATCAACTCGGGTTCTTTCTATCATTGAGAAGATCGCGAGTAAGCGTAGTTGTCAACGAGACAGTGAAAGGAGTTCTTCCATATTGATAGTTAGGAAGGTTGCTTGGCTTTTCAGTGACCTTCTAACCAGAAATATCATAAGAGAAGTGCAATTGGGGTAGGACTAAGAAGTAGAGAGTCCCGTAAATAGCCATACTTTAATTCCTCTAACCACCATTGGAGGAATTCTCTCTTGACCGATACGTAGGCAGGGATTGTAATCTCAAATCTCTTTCTCATCTAGTAACGGGAGCTCCGCATAGCTCTTTCTTTATAGACGTCGTCACTCCTGTCCTATTGCTTCCCTGGCTTGGTTTTGGTGGTCATATCTCTGGCCCCTATTGTAGTACGTCCGATCTAACTTATTTGACTTGCATCTTCGAGTCGAAAGTCAAGTCTGATCGGTCGAGCAGCTTTCGTGGGAACTAGTACTAGTACACAAATCTCGTATGGCTCAGAACGAAGGAAACTCTATCAAAGAATTGCGAGATGCTGAGGGAAAGGATTTCTCTTTTCCGCACTTGATTCAAATCGAATGCTAAAACTGGGCAAGGAGAGGAAAGAGCATATCAGAGGGTGAGGCAGCGAAGACTGATTTCCATCTTAGCACTAGTTCATGATTGACCTTAGCCCTCATCCCTTTCGCCTATCCGAAGAGTCCACTCAACCAAGAGAATTAGGCAAGCCTTCACTACGGGCTCTGCCCCAGTGGGAGGGAGGACGCTTCTTTTCGTCTTTCGGTAGAACCTTGTCCGAAATGCTCTTTTTCCTGGCTTTGAGTTCACTCCCTTTCTTCGTTCTGCTACTCGACTTATACCATGAGCCTATCCTTTGAGCGGAGGCAAGCAAGGGAGATACTGAATCAATGGAAAAGGGATGGCTTAGACATAGGGTTAGAAGTTATATAGATAGTAAAATCAGAGAATGGATGAAATAATTCAAAGAAATCCTGTGCACCGAAAAATTGTACCATTTGCATACTATACAGAAATAGCATTGCGAGGATACATAGGGCTAAGCGGGCCAGTAACAAGACTCCTCGAAAGGGCCATTCCTCTATGTGCTGATACAACTACTTTCAACTTAGTGAATCTGACAGGAAGGGATGTACTGAGGGTTGACCCGGGGTGGACTATTAGATATTCCGAATTGGCTAATGATGCCTCGGAAATTTCTGTAGTAAGAGGGATGCGAGAATATACACAGCAGCAAATCACAGCTGCAATAGTAAAAAAGCGAATAGCTTCTTTGGACATACGACAGTCAACAGCAGCCTATCGCACACTAATCGCGATACTACTAGCTGTGATGCGACTATAGACTTTCTCTTGTGTATTCCCGCCTTAGCCAGACATAATCTTCTTGGAAGGCCCAAAAAGAGCAAGAGCTACTCCTGACTGAACTGAAGGAGAAAGTGTCACTTACCTGCCTGCAGCGGGGAGCGACCGATCAGATCTCCGGTCTTCTAGAGGCATCAAGTCAGAATAGAGAGGTCAAAATACCCTATACACCCTTATGCCCCTTCTTCGAATTGTTTCTCTTTAGCTCTTATTCCTCTAGAAAGTCTCTTCTTCCTCGGCGACAGTCCCGTGTGAGTTCTACTAAGGATACGAATTCTTCCCCAGTTTCTTACTTTTAGGGCGAAGGGATTTAGAAGACCGAGTCAACTTTATAATTAGTACACGATTCCCTTCCTTTAAATAGAGCTACTTCCCGCTCTTCTCTCTGTCATCTGTCAACTGGTAACGGTCGCATCTGTCCAGTAACTGTCCTGTAGGCGGTCCAATCGCTCATCCGTCCACGAATACCGTCCTACGATGTCCTCTAGCTTCTGTTATGAGTGAGGCCTATTTGATCTAAAAAGAAGCCCTGTGAAGGAGCTATACGGTCCATTAACGTTGCTTAATTGGCCTTATTTATGTGCTCTAGTCGAAGTAGCAAGCCTTTTTCGATCCTTGTCCGATACAGCAGCTGGATCACCGCCTTTCCAATCTGCTGATTCAGCCGAATAAGGCTCTTCAAAAGAAGGTACCAACCTGGGTTCCGAGCGGAACAGGGTTTCATTCATAAGGGTGCCCCTTTCGACCGTAACGTAGACAGGTAAAGAGGCGGTGGTCTTCTTTCCGCTCTTCGAGGCTCTTCTTTTAAAGAAAGGCATCGATACATACACCCCACAGCCCAAAAGGCCTACGAGGTCGGTAACCGGTGTAGGCTAAGATCCTTTACGAATGAGCCTACTTTTCTAAGTTGCAGTATTTCCAGTGATGGAACACCCTTTCTGCCCACACTCGGTTATAACTTGAGTGAAAGACCTTTTCTTGATTCATTAGGGCGAGATACCCTGGTAGTCCATGCCGTAATATATATCAAGTGTCTTTTCTCGCTTGTTAGCACTTCCTATTCTAATAAATAATTTTTTATATTCATTTTTCTATCTTTTTTTCACTCACTTCTTTTTCTTCCAATTCAGAGAAGACTGAAGTGAAGATTAGAATACGAATAAGATCAAAAAGGCCATCATTAGAGCAAAGAGGGCGATTGCTTCCGTTAGAGCAAATCCCAAAATGGCATAACCAAATAATTGTTTAGCCAATGATGGATTTCGCGCTACGGAATGAATCAAAGAACTGAAAACGTTTCCAATACCGACAGCTGCTCCCGCTAAGGCAATTGTTGCTGCTCCGGCTCCCATTAATTTAGCACCTTCTAACATTAGAGAAAAGTCTTTTCTTTCTTTTTTACGCTTTCTTTTTCTCCTCTCATTTTTTCTTTTCTATTGCTGGATTATTATATGATGATTTTGAAATCTTTTATACTAGGTAATCTAGTATCCTTATGCATGAAGATAATCAATTCGGTCGTTGTGGTCGGACTCTATTATGGATTTCTGACCACATTCTCCATGGGACCCTCTTATCTCTTCCTTCTCCGAGCTCGGGTTATAGAAGAAGGAACCGAGAAGAAGGTATCAGCAACAACAGGTTTTATTACGGGGCAGCTCATGATGTTCATATCGATCTATTATGCGCCTCTGCATCTAGCATTGGGTAGACCTCATACAATAACTGTCCTAGCTCTACCGTATCTTTTGTTTCATTTCTTCTGGAACAATCACAAACACTTTTTTGATTATGGATCTACTACCAGAAATTCAATGCGTAATCTTAGCATTCAATGTGTATTCTATGGCTCGAATCTTTAGTATTCTCTTATTTATTACCTGTGTCTACTCTTTAGGCAGAATACCGTCACCCATTTTTACTAAACTGAAGAAACCTCAGAAACGGAAGAAAGGGAAGAAAGGGGGAAGAAACAGATGTAGAAATAGAAACAACTTCCGAAACGAAGGGGACTAAACAGGAACAAGAGGGATCCACCGAAGAAGATCCTTCTTCTTCCCTCTTTTCAGAAGAAAAGGAGAATCCTGACAAAATCGACGAAACGAAGAGATCCGAGTGAATGGAAAGGAAAAAACAAGGGTCAAGAGTGAGGGGAAGTTAGGGAAGTCGCTCGGAAAGATTCCACCCCCTCTCATGAATCAATTTGATGGATCGTACCTTCCTCTTTTGGAAGTTGGAAGTCCCGCCAACCGGTGGCTCTGGTTTACCATTATTATTATTTACCGTTATTTCCTCCTCTACCTCTATAATTGGATTAGTGGTTAACTACTACTTTACCCTAAAATTAGTATGTTGTTGTTAATATTCCTTAATTCTTATTATGTTGGTACTTTTTCCAATGCTATTGAGAATTCTGCTTATTCATATGCATGTGTTATCCCTAAATCCCCATCAAAGTCCAAATCCTCAAAAACTACCCAACGTTTTCCTTATGTCGCAGCAACCAGCTAGCTAGAACTAGAAGAAGAAGGCGAGCTAGCAGATGAACTAAGCAGCATACTTTATATGTTGAATAGAAGGAATGAAACCGACGTACCGTATTGACCGGCGGGTATATATATATTAATGAAAGAACTAAACCACCGCCCGCAGCTGCTCCTCCAACGCCAACGGCTACTGATTGTGTCAGCCATTCCTTTCTTCTTGCTATTGATATAGTGGAATTAATTCCAGTCATTCCCTTAAATCCGTTTTTTTCAGTTAAAGTCTATCTCTAAACGGGGATTGATGAAGAACAGCTCCAAGAGACTTTAAGCCATAACTTGACCTAGGCCCAGCCCCTTAAACAATATATTCATAGTTACAGCCCCTTACTCTATGAATGTAATGTTCACCTTAAGTTCAGGTTAGGTTACCGATTTCCCGCGTTCTGTTCTTCTTCACTTTCAAATAACCTATTTTGATGGCACGATTGGAATTACCCGAAACACCCGGTAAGGTGAGGAGCACATATACATATTCTCGCAGATATCGCCCCGAAAAAAGGACCAGGATTGATTGACTCGAGGATTGACCAAGACCGAAGCTCCCTAGCTCAAACTAAGATCTTGGCTTCGTAACTCCTTCCTTCGCTCATCGGTTTCCGCCTTTCCTTTATTAGGAAAATAATAACGACGCATACTACTCCGCACCTAAAAGTGCTAACTTTAAAAAACAAAAAATTATGATTATTTTCATTTTATATAGTACAGGGAGTACTTACAAATCAGGTATCAAAAGATATTCTAATGTTTCAGGTCTTTCCATTGACGGATGTGGCAACGGTAACGGATTTGGCAACGGTAACGGATTTGGCAACGGCAACGGCTCATCTCAGTCTAGTGATGAGATTTCGTTGAATACTCTTACTAACTATATCCATCTATCATACTCTGAATTATCTGAGAATTTTCCTAATTTGACAAAAGAGAAAGTGAATGAAATAACAATGTCCATAATGGATGGTACTTACACCCAGTCTCCCCTAAGAATAAGGCCATTTATTGATTCTAAAAATGAATTGGGTATCAAGCTTTATGTTATGGATAGATTCAATAATAAAAAACCATTTGAAGTTTATTCACAGGAAGAAGACAACCTTGTTCAACTTTCGCTGGCATTTATGTTAAATAAACATATATATATGAAGGGAGTTTTCATGGCAAATTGCGTGGGGTATCATAATTTGTTACCTACTTATTATGATTTAGTATGTTCTAGAAAGAATGTCTTTAAGGTATATCGATTAGACCTAACAAATTCCCTTTCGAGTATAAATCGAGAGAGTTTGTTATCTAACCTTGAATCTATTGTGAATGATGTGGAAATCTTAAGATATGTAAGAGAATACATTAATTTACCTTTTGTTACTGAGTATGGAATACCCCTATCCCTCCATCCAACTACAGCTATACCACCCTCAGGATTTCTGAGTTGTGTATTACTGAATTATGCTTTAATGGACTTCGATAAGGCTTTTCTCGAATTCTTAAGGAATCTGCTTGGTTCTAAGGTGAGGCTCGAGAGACCTGGATTCGGACAGATTGATAGAGGAAATGCCAAAGCAATGAACTTGGATTTCGTACTTGGTACTTGACAGGAAGGCTTTTTTCTTCTCCTTCGATTCCATTCCTTGAAAGTTAAAAAGTTCGATCTGCCTATGAACTCAGCTAGGGATCCGTCTAGATTCGCTCTCAAGACAGCTCTTCCCGGAAATAAGGAATGCGATGATTCTTTGCCCTCGTAGAATAAAGGGTAATCGGAAAAGAATATGGAATGGTCTCTCACTGCTTTCTGCCACTTCCGAAGGCATTGTTCCTAGGGCTGAAGTGAAGGCTCAGTCTTGCTCGACGGGAGTTCCGATTCCACCCATTCTGATTCCGGGCTTGAGGCCCATCTTTTGGAATCTACTGATAGTCCTACCAACCTTGGGACAATTCCAACCTTTCAAAATTTTCTTTCTTCTCTTATGATATTTCTTTTCACGAACGGTACTTTGATGCCACTGCTGATAGAAGGGAATGCATGATTTTCGACCATAGGGAGAAGAGTCTGACCCAGAAAGCCATCTTGTAGAGAAAGTCGATTTGGGCAACCAGGGACCAGACCACTAGCCTAGATAATCAAAGAGGCACGGGCTGCTATCTTCTTCTTATTATTATACGATAACGAGATTGGAAAATAGGGATTGGCCCCAAGCCGAATCCAAGTAAAGTACCGGTGCTTGCTATCAGTAGAAGTCTCAGCCTCCTGCTCAACACGAGGAGCTTTAACCCTCTGACTCCAAAGAGCCTAAGTCGGCGGTTCACTTACACAATTTTTATTTTAAGTAAAATAAAGACAAAATATACCAAAAAAACACTTTCTTTAATGGCAAAGCTCGGGTTCCCGACGAGCGGGGCGTGACCCTTCCTTAATATACATAAGAAATTCGGGGTTCTATTCTAAGACGCTCAGGGGTCAGGAAAAAAGTCCTACTTCGGGTATGATCCACACGGAGATGCATATACTTATGCCCGAGCGCCTGTGTATGTAACTAGAGTATAAGTTTAGTTAGGTCTTGGATAACCTTGACGTCAGGTTTGGGGCTTTCTTCAAATGATCACTGGGCTCCTCTCGGCGGATGATTCAATAGCGGATTCACCCCCATTGGAGTTAGTAAGCCATGTCACGGACCCAAGTACGCCACAAAGTCATTGAAGGGCCATTATTGAGTCAAGCAACCGAAACCGAGCAAAGAAGTCACATCTGAGCTAATTATAACTAACTCATCCGCTTATATTATACCAAGCAAGACCCTTTTGCAGTTTACTCGCCAGTGTCATCACTCACTGGACGAGCCTTTCTATTTGTACCAGTTGAGTACGTCTGCCCAAGACCCAGACAAAAAGCTTTGTACCTTACCACGGCCGCTATCAATGTCGTCTGGCCCAGTTGCCCCAACTGGACTGAACCATTTGACTTCTGACAATAAGAGGAAGAGAAGCCCTCTTGAGTAAGGGCTCTTGAGTTAGAGTTCGAACTCACCTTCTTTCTTCTATTTCATAGCCTCTTCCGTATTCTCAATCGGAATAGCCAGGCCTTCAATCTTTTTCTTTTATTAGGTATACAAGGACGTGCTGTAGGAGTCACTCATTACCTTCTGGGTGGAATTGCCACAACATGGGCGTTCTTCTTAGCAAGAATTATTGCAGTAGGATAATGGCTAGGAGGATTTGAAAGGCATTATGGCATTAAGATTTCCAAGGTTTAGCCAAGGCTTAGCTCAGGACCCCACTACTCGTCGTATTTGGTTTGGTATTGCTACTGCGCATGACTTCGAGAGTCATGATGATATTACGGAGGAACGTCTTTATCAGAATATTTTTGCTTCTCACTTCGGGCAATTAGCAAGAATTTTTCTGTGGACTTCCGGAAATCTGTTTCATGTAGCTTGGCAAGGAAATTTTGAAACATGGGTACAGGACCCTTTGCATGTAAGACCTATTGCTCATGCAATTTGGGATCCTCATTTTGGTCAACCTACCTTACTTTATTACTAAAGGCGAACATCTCATGCATCTTTAGAACCATGGAACTACCATATAATATGGGCGAACGCTAATGCACGCTATATCTCTTAGTCTAATGGGCTTACCGTGAGGGAGCTCACTCTCTGTATAGGGAATTATGTAACAAAGGAGAAAGTAAAAGTATCGCATTCTATGGCATCTAAGAGGCACTTCTGTGCCCCTTTCCTATGCATTTCTTAGTTGATGAGTTAGGTTCACCTTAGATTCAATGTGCCCAAGGACTTGGAGCACATTTCTTTTTATTTCCACTGCTTAAAGTGATTGTTACGACCACGAAGAAACAACAAATCCCAACTACGGATATATAAGAGCCAAAACTGCTAAGGGCATTCCATCCAGCGTAAGCATCTGGATAATCTGGAATGCGACGTGGCATACCCGAAAGCCCTAAGAAATGCATAGGAAAGAAGGTCAGATTAACCCCGAAAAAAGTGATCCAAAAATGGATTTTCCCTAACGTTTCAGGGTATGTCCGACCAAAGATTTTACCCACCCAATAGTAAAATCCTGCAAATAAAGCAAAAACGGCTCCCATAGAAAGTACATAATGGAAATGTGCAACCACATAATAAGTATCATGTAGAGCAATGTCTAGCCCAGAATTTGCCAGGACTATTCCAGTGAGTCCTCCTATGGTGAACAAAAAGATGAACCCTACAGCAAATAACATGGGTGTTTTGTATTGTATCGAACCCCCCCACATGGTAGCGATCCAACTAAAGATTTTGATTCCAGTGGGGACAGCTATGATCATGGTAGCTGCGGTGAAGTAGGCACGGGTATCAACGTCTAAGCCCACAGTAAACATATGATGAGCCCAAACAAGAAATCCAAGAACACCTATACTGATCATGGCATAAACCATGCCTAGATACCCGAAAACCGGTTTTCCAGAGAAAGTAGAAACGATATGACTTATGATACCGAATCCAGGCAGAATGAGAATATACACCTCTGGATGACCGAAGAACCAAAAGAGATGCTGGTATAAGATGGGGTCCCCCCTCCAGCGGGATCAAAAAAGGTTGTATTAAAGTTTCGATCGGTTAATAACATGGTAATTGCCCCTGCCAGTACCGGAAGTGATAATAAAAGTAGGAATGCTGTCACTAGAACGGACCACACAAATAGGGGTAATCTATGCATAGTCATTCCAGGTCCACGCATGTTGAAGATAGTTGTTATAAAATTGATAGAACCTAAAATGGATGAAACACCAGATAGATGAAGACTAAAAATTGCTAAATCAACTGCTCCTCCAGAATGGCTGGTAATACCACTTAAGGGCGGATAGACCGTCCACCCAGTGCCGCTACCCACTTCTACTAAGGCTGAGCTTAATAGGAGTAAGAGACTTGGTGGCAACAACCAGAATGAAATATTATTTAATCGTGGAAATGCCATGTCAGGTGCACCTATCAGAATCGGAACAAACCAATTACCAAATCCACCTATCATCGCCGGCATAACCATAAAAAAGATCATTAAAAAAGCGTGAGCCGTTATTAAAACATTATAAAGTTGATGATTCCCACCAAGAATTTGATCGCCGGGTCGTGCTAATTCCATACGAATCAGTACTGAGAAGCATGTGCCCATCACTCCAGCAATGGCACCGAAGATGAAATAGAGAGTCCCTATATCCTTGTGGTTAGTGGAGAACAGCCATCGAACCAGATTTCTCATCCAATAAAAATTCTTTCTTGATGCTTCGCTCGACACCGGAAGAGAGTAAGCCAGCTTTAATAAGAAAAAAAGCCGAGCCTGCTTATGGGGCCCGGCGCAAGACTGCCTTTTCGATTTGTTGCAGGCTAAAGGCTAGAACTCCTGCTGTAAGACTCGGCTGCTTTTTCCGCCGAACGAAGAGACATTTTATGCCTGGGTGGTGCCCATTCTCTCTCTTAAGTGATTCCACGTCAGAGCTTGATCCGCTACCGATCAGGAAGTGCGTTCGGCACTCGTAATACTAGCGAGAAGCTTCCCTTGGGATTGTTTTCCCAGGCATCCTGCCCTAGGACCAATCCTTCTTTCCACGCTCCCAGTTATTCTGGTTGGTTATTCTTTAGTAATGCATTTGTGCCTGACCCTTGCAATTCACTTTCAAAGGTATACTTTGACGCTGCTCCTGTTACCACCTAAATGACTACTCAAAACAACACACTTTCTTGGTTGAGCTGATGGAGACTATTCAAGAATCCTACCCCCGGATCTTACTAATAAAGAAAGCGCCAGGACAGAACAACAAGTGCGGAATCCCATCCTGCTGCAGGGATTGGAAATTGCGGAATATCAGGATTTAGGCTCTTGCAAAGAAGGCAATTCATTCGTAGTAGGATATTGAAACCTCAAACCCTCTCTGTCAACAACATCGAAAAGATTAGGACGAAGGAGCTCGAGCTCTCTTCCATATTCAATTCTCGGAAGAAGATTCTCAGAAGCTGATTCTACGCATCAGACTAACTGGAGTTCATGCTTTCCTGCGTGAGACAAAGGAAGCAAATTGACTTACTCGGCGGGAAGGGAAATGTTGGACTTGTCCTCCCTCTCAAAAGAAGGTTCATTTCAGCTATAGAAAAAGAAAAATCACATTCTTCAATCGGCGAAGCCTCACATCCTGTTCCTGTTTCCTTAGACCAGGGAAGATTAGTTTCTTAATGAGAAAGAGGAATTGAAGAACCCGGCTCATTCACCAGAAAGAAGCCTAAGAAAGACCTATCCGGAAACAAAGAGGGTTTCGTAGCTGATCTGCCGAAAAGAAAATACAAGGGGGTGCACTCTTGGCTAATCGGTCTTTCTGGCAAACCTATCTTCTAGGGTGGCCGATTCTCCAGTGCTATCTTCTGTTTTCTTTGCTCTTTCCTCTTTATGAGGAAAAAGACGGGGGTTTCATGAAAGTGGCACTCTTTTTATGTCACTTAGGAAGGGAAAATGCATTTAGACGAAAAACACGCTGTTTTCTAAAGTTGTCCGATTTCAATTGACGTCTAGGAAGGGAAATTGACTTGATACCAAAATCACGGGGAAAACGCTCCAATGTCACCATTGAAGTCTCACTTAGGAGGGAAATCGGATTGCAAGCAAAAATCCCGAGAAAATGAAAGATTAGTCAGATCAGGGGGAAGCTGGTGCTATAGCCGTTGTTCAAGAATGGCTTTTGTTCAATCAGACGCTCTTGCTTAAAAAGCTCTAGTAACCGGTGCTTCCTATTGATGCGACGGTAACTCGAGATAGAATCTCTACGCCCTGAAGAATTCCTACCAGCGGGCTTCCCTGTACTCAAAGTGAATTGTCTCAGTGCCGGGCTTTTGATCAATTTCCCATCTCTCGACGATACTTTAATAAGAGCTCCTCAAAAAGGGGTAACCTTTTCTCTCAATCCAATCTCGGATTTACAAAGCCAGAAGAGAGACAGGAGGATCGCTCCCTTTAGCAAGTCTTCTTAAAGCAGGTATCCGATGTTAGTTCAAATAGGAGCTCTTCTTACCTCAAAAGGGAGTTCGCTCAGTGACCCAGTTCTTTCTTTGAGCCGAGCCAAAGCCAAGTAGTTCGGCTAAGCTTCATGGCATTTATAAGGCTCTGTAGCCGGAGTAGAAAGTCAGGAAAAGGAGAAGAGAGAAGGAGCTTTAAAAGAGAACTACACTTTTTCACCCAATGGAAGCCCTTTGTCAAGAGTGGGAAAGGCCTTCACGGAATGAGAAGGGCATCTTAAATGAAATCGATCCCATACCCGCGATTGCGATTGAGGAGTTTTCCCAGCTCAAGGCACCAAGATGCCCGAGTGCGCCATGGTACTTTGACCTTTCTGGTGAACTTGCCCACCTTCTTTGGTGATTTATTGCGCCCAAGATGAAGAGCTCTTACTTTAGCGGATAGACCCAATCCCACACTCCCTTCTGCCCTGCTGGATAGGTAGTTGGAGAGAACCCAGTTAGCCTGTCACTCGCACACCCTTTCTTATGCCCTTCTAGCCTCGCGTGTATAAGAAGGTAGGCTTACTCTGAAATGCCTTGAGAACAGCGGAGTGAACTTCTAACTCGAAATTGCATAAGAGAAGAAAGCGTAGAAAGAGGTTCAGAAGTACTTCACTAGGTTCTACCAGGTAAGAAGGTCAAATGCTCTTCTTTTGTCAGTTCTGGTAGATTACTTACACATTGGATCGGGAAGAGAGATGGGAAAAAGACTGCAAGGGCATATGGTACGCAAAGGAAATCCGATTTCGGTCAGACTCTATCTTAATCATATTCTTTCTTTAATCGCAAGTACTTTCGGTCTTTTTCTAGCAAATGCATTTGGACGTTTTATAGGATCAGAAGGAACCGCTATAATGACCACTACTAAAAATCTCGTGCTTTTATCAATCTTTATTTTTTTATTAATCTTGATCTTTCGTCTTGCTTCTTCTTTTTCAAAAAGAAAGGGTCAAGCTTTCGACTTATACTTCTATATATTGATATAATAAATATCATCTCTTTTCTTGGGTGCTTTCTCCGCATCTACTTACTTTCTCGCTTTGGTCTTCATTGGGGGGATCTTTTCCCTTTTATAATTTTTTGTGTGGGGGAAGGTCAAGGACTGCCTCTTCCGGCCCCTTCCGGCCAAGTCAACTCGGCCCCGTGGATAGAGGATCCCAGAGAAATCGATATCCTGTTGGGATCTTCGTCTGTGCCGGGCACGTCTGTTGAAACGGGCACGTCTGTGACTCAACCTAGAGCTGGACCAGTAAACCCAGAGGCGGCCGACTCCTCCCAAACTTCTGGAGATCCAGTCGCTTCCCCGGGGGAGGAAGCTGGTCCGGCTAATCAGACCCAACGAGTGGTCCCCTATCCGTATCAACCGGATGAAGTGATAGGGGGATTGTGTTCTCTCCATCGAACGTCGCCTTTTGGCGAAAGACTCCAATCCCTCTTCCGAGGACATACAAATGGCTCGGATTCACACCGAAGACCTATTCGAGGTCAAGGTTGAGATTATAAAACTCATGGCCGACGGGGCGCAGGCGAACTTCTTCGTAGGCGCAAGTAGCTTTCAATCGACCCTCGTGAGAGCAGCGAAAAGGCAAGCTGAGCGCCGTGTGAATAAGTATTTTATATGACCACTTACCGGAGATGCTGCTTAGTAACGGGCGTAGATCAACGTCAGATAGATCCTCGTGGGGTTACAGGGAGAGGGAAAGGGTTTCAAAAAGAAAGGAAATACCGAAAGTGCAAAAAGGTGCGAAGCGAGAAAGAATTCCTTACTTGGGGTGAGGAGTTAGACATTTAACGAAAGAAGGAAATCGCCCTTATACGACTTCTCCCACTTCTCTTATAAGGTAAGCTTAGTCATAAGGCGGATTCTTAGTTCTCCTTAGAATAAAAAGACAGAAGGAAAACCGCGCAGTAGTAAGAAGAAAAGAGCAGTAGCAGCTGCAACAGGAGCTGAGTATACAACAGCCAATGGTTCACAGCCCCAGACAGAAAGTCAGTTTCCACTCACGACCAAAGCGCTGTCGCACCTCTACCATTTTCGGCGTAACGAGGTCCTTACTCTTTCGAGTAAGCAAGCGCTACGCCCCTTTGAAACTATCTCAAATAGGGTTCTAGCAGAGACCGCTGAAACTCGTGTTTTAATGCCCGCCGTACTGCTGCATGTAGTAAGGACTTTTCGGGGTGTAATGGAATACATTGAGAGAGGCATATTCATATGTTATCCCAATAGTCACGATATTCATCGCCTCTGTTAGGAATAGCAGGCAATCTCAGATCAGGATAAGGATTCGCATGCGGACAATTCGATGAGGACGATTTCTTGCAGAAAGAGAAAAGGGATACCAGACGATTGGGGATTGATTAGATGCGGACGATGATTTGGCAGATGAGAAGGACGATTTGAGAGCGAATCCGCCATTAATTACTCTTTTGAATGAAGGTTGCTCTGCTTCCACAGCTATTGAATCAGCTGTTGGCATATCAGCTCTTGTGCACTCATAAGCTCTTGGGAGAGTCCAAAGAACTCCATTCTTTTCTTTTTACGAATAAGCTCTTTCCGCTTTTCATTCCTCATGCACTGAGAAGTAGCAAAGCTTTCCTCATGCCAGCGTTCAGTTCCTATTGAGGAAGATCTGCCATTGCTTTCAAAATGAATCTCAGATGTCGGAAAGAAAGAAGCAGATTGAATGCCCGGACTGTGGTATCGGAAAGCAAAAGCACTTTCAAGAGATCCTAGGCCGAAAGCCATTTCTCGATAGTTTAGTGAGCCCCTAGTACCTTAATCAGAGAGCTTGAACACGCTTTCTGCTTAAATAAAGATTGCCATAGAGACGACTGATACTGATACAGACAGGGGACAACTCTTTTGAAAAGAAAAGGCAACTGTGCAAGAAGAAAGAGAATTAGCAGAAATCGAAAGGGACCGCTCTGATACCTCCTAAAGCGAAATAGACACGCGCACAGGCTCTTTAAGACCTGAGTCGTGCGGCCCCAGGTGCTACACTACAATAGGCCTGGGTTCTCTCCTTGCCGAATTTCGCTTCTGATCTTTCTCTGAGTCTCTATTTTTCCTCTCAGCTATTTCCAGAAGTATACGCACAAGATCTCTGATGAACAGTGCCTCTGGAAATAAGATATTGAGAGAATTCCGTGGACATGTATTCTCCTCCGGCGTCAAATAATTTTTTTGCATTGAAAAGTCTGGCTTGTCGATTGTTCGTCCAGGGGAGGTGAAAATTGGACGGTTCATGCTGGCGAGATCGCCTATTTCTTTCCTCACATGAATCATGAATGAGGGGGGTAGAGCGGCTCTTTCTCACGACTAGGGGGTTCTAGACTAGATAGGAAAAAAAGAAGCGGAGCGCTCTTCCAAAAGCCCGTTCAAACTCCTCCGTTAGAATCCCTACTGGGAACACACACGTTCTCTTGTTGAGGGTTCGGAGGAGGTATATTATGTCACTTTCGATCCGACTTCGTCACACGAAGACTCGTTCAGTGATTCTACGACTCTGTGTGATCGACTATCTTCCTGTTCGGGTCCGTCCCTATACTAAGTACTCCTGTTGCACGAAGATCAAACAAAAGACCGAGCAAGCTGCTCTGGGAGCCCGACCTGCAAGCATCGTCTTTTTTTTCTGCTCAAAAGACCGGTTGGTTGTTTCGCCTCGGGATTGGAGATTGGTTCCACTGCTCACTCATCAATTGTTCTTGCTTCAAGCAAACCATAAAGGCAAGCTGAAGATTGCGAAAAGGTAATGGAGCCCACTCTTAGGCTCCGAAAGATCAGTAGCCGCCTGGGGCCGGTGGAAGTTCCCGCAGGTTGTGGGGTCGGAGATTCTTTCTTACTGGGATGGATGCTTTCACTCAATGGGCAAGGAGCTTCATGTCACCTCCACGCTGATTCAGAAGGTGTTCGGTCTACCGCACCTGCCAGCCATATCTATTCCTCGATTATTTTGATTGAAGGTACAAGCGAGATAGGAAGGACAGGGCCAGGCCGGGAACAGCACCGCAGCGGGAACTCCCCTACCCGCCGGTCGAAGGCCATTAGTGATATGGAAAAAGAAAACTTACGTGAATACGTTGTCTCCAACACTGCGTAGCTTCCATCACTTTGATGGGGGGTGAGCGTCGTCGAGGGGCGTTCCCCCTACTACAAGGTCTTTGGGGCTATCCCCCCACCTACTCATCATGGGGCTGAATCGGAACTTCCCCGAAGGAAATGAAATGTGGGTTCGTTCCTGAACCAAAGAGGCATTCGTCAGCGTAGGAAGGCCGACTACGCTCTCTTTGTCAAGAAAAGGGAAGGAACAAAGGTCCTTTCATCGATTCTTCAACATTATCAATAAATAGATCGACCCATAGGATAAAGGGGATGGAAGAGACACAGGAATTGAATCTTGGATTCAACTAATTTCTGGGGCTGCCCGCTGACGAATGATTGATCGTGTTGCCATAAGCATCGAAATCAATGGGATAGTAAAATGGAGGGGTAGGAAAGGTAATCTGCTGAGATGGGGATCACTTCAGGCTTTTCACGAGAGTACGAGATGCGCCCGAACTCGAGAACCTTCGCTGAGCTAGGCAAGGCCTCGCTAAGCTTGGTCGTAACTTCAGTGTGACTGGCGAGGGCTGACTAAATGACTAATTGAACCGGTTGGTCAAAGGATAAAACCCTGACTGCCGAGAAGAGACCCACCCGAAGAGGTGGGGAGGCTCCTGCCTCTTTGAATGCCTTCTTTTTGATCTCGCCGACAACTGATTGCTTTTCTTTTCTTACGGGTAGATGCCGAAGAAAGAAGACGTCCCTTACTGACGCTTACTGGTTTGATTAATATATCGCTTCGCTTGATTCGGAATCGAGCATCGTGGAAGGGAATAATAACTCAGGCAGCTACCGGGCCCCTTTTGCGCCATGTTTGAGAAAGAAAAGAGTGATTTTCTGTAGTTAGAAAGAGCTGCATCCCTTATGGTCTTATTCAAGAAAGAAAGGACGCTTAACACTATACTTGTTTTCTTCAAACGGTTCAAAAATACCTTGAAAGAAGCTCTACTCCCTGAATTAAAAACTCCTCTGGAAGCCTTATTCACTATTGAGAGGCTGCTCCTCATTCATATTGATCAAAGTCTCGGGGCTCTCAATTCAGAAGATAGAAATCTACGGGATACTAATGAATGAAATAGATCCTTTCTTTCGCCATGTTGAAGCTTCTTAAAGAGACTGATTCGGGGGGACGTTCAATCCAATGAGGAAGAAGACTGCTTGGGTGAGGACAACTGGAATCATGCGCATGGCTCCATGTCGGCGAGTGAGAATGGTTCACAGCGCGAGGGCTAAGTAAAAGCTTTCTATCTCAGCATCTACGTGGACTGAGTGGCTAACTATTATAGTGCATCGAGAAAAAAAAATTTCTTAATATAAGAATAAGTAAGAAGGATTTCATCACCTTGTGACTTCTATTATAAGGAACGAAAGAGTAAGTCCCGAACCTTCATCAAGTGCTTTCACAGCGACCATATCATACACCTTCCCTTTAAGGCCAAACCTAACGAATTGTTTATCAGTTCGGATGGACTTCCAAGATCGACATAGGATTGGTGCCAAGAAAAACTGTTGGATGCTTACATCAGGACTGAGAGTACCACTTACATTACTTTTTAGCCAGTCTTTCACCCATACCCTAAAGAGAGACCATTCCAATCCAAGAAGTCCTTCATCTTCATACCCTAAAAAAAGGCATCGGGAGGAATAGAAAACTGTCGAGGCTTCATTTCACCTCGCCGTAAGGAGGCAATGTAAATTCTTGGACGAAAGAAAGTTGATAGATATCTCGCCAACGCTTTCTATACCTGGTAGAACATGAGAAGAGGGGCAGATATAGTGCTATAAAGAATAGAAAGGCTTAATCTCCGAAGGGGCATTCCTTCCATTCTTCCTGGAGTTAGTGTACCTCGTTGCAATCTTTCCAATCTTCGATTCTGCCCGAAGGAAATCCAACTACGGTGTGATTGAGCGAGGGAATCTGGTTGCTTGCTTACCAAGCCATCCATCCTGGCAAGCTCTTTAGGTTTGAGGTTCCCATTGCAGACTGTATTAGTCGTGTAATACAAAATTTCCTTCTTCCTTGAGTGAATGCGCTTTGCTGTCTAGACCATTCACCTAGGACCTTTATATCATTGCCATACTTTTCAGGGCGATTTCCTTTATGCTTTCTATTACGTAACCCTCAGTCCTAGTCTTGGTCGATATCAGTCCTTGTCACTTCGATCCCGGATATACCATTTCCACAAAATAAGATCCGGATCTTTTTCCTTATTATGATCCCGATCTCAAGAATTTAAGAAAGACTCCCTCATCTGGATGAGTGCATTTCCCGAACAGCCGGAGAAAACCAGATGAGTAACGAACCCAAGAAAGAAGAGTTTTGAGCGAAACTCCGATCCTTTCGTTGAGTACCATCTCCTTTGAACTTTAAGAAGATCATTCAATTCACACGA